AAAAGTCCACTGGCATCCTGCAGTGGTCCAGCCAAGAGGAAAATTACCTGGGAGTTCATGCTTCCAGAGACCAGCATCCAATTATCTATCTTCTCCAAACAGCATTCCCAGTGTCAAATAGGGGCCTCATCCAGCCAATCAGCTCCTTCCAAGCCCCCAAGGTCAGAGAATAGTTCAGTAAGGACAAATGCCACCATCATGAATGAGACTCAAGGATAAGGCTTTGTAGAACTTTCTAGTTTTTAGAAGACTGCAATTCCACTCTGTGGCAGGCAGAACCCTAAAGAAAACCCTAGGGTTTCTGTACCCGGGTTATTCAATCACTTATCATCTATGCACTGCTATGAAGGGCATTTTTCCCCCACCCCCAAGGTAATTGAGCTCTAACTCAGCTGGCCAAAGACACAGCCATTATTTGTGTGTGCCTAGTTAAATCAAGGAAGATGTTTAAAAGCAGCGTCTCTTCCAGCTGGGTGCAGAAGATATCCTCAGAGGAATTAGAAACATAGGCAGATCTCAAGTGCTACAGCTGACTTGAAGATGAAGAGAGTCACGTGAGCTGAATGAGGCAGACTCTGGGAGCTGAACGCTATGCCCAGCTGCCAAGCTGCAAAGGGGCAGAGAAGACGGTCTTGTACAAGAAACCAAGTGAAGCAACTACCTGAAGGAGCTTGTGCGTGGCCCCTACTCCAGATGAGAACTCAGCCTGGCCAATGCCTTAATCTCTCTTTCATGAGACCCTGGGCAGAGTGACTCTGGCTGCTTTATACAATGGGGCTAATAAATGGGTGTTTGAAGCTGTTAAACTCTTGGCAAATCATTACACCATACTAGTAATAGAAAATTCAGCTGGGTGTGGTGGCTCACACCTTTAATCCTAGCACCCTGGAGGCAGACAAGGCAGATCTCTGAGGACAGCCTGGTCTACAAAGCGAGTTCCAGGATAGCCAGAGATACACAGAGAAACCCTGTCTAAAAAAAAAAAAGAAGAAGAAGAAGAAGAAGAAGAAGAAAGAAAAAAGAAAAGAAAGAAAAAGGAAAAAAAGAAAACCCGTATGTACTGAGATTACTGGATGTAAGAATAATCTGTCACTAGGGAGGGGCTGGCCAAAAGATAAAGCCAGGATAGTAAAAGAAGCCCAGAGATGAATTTCCATAATGAGTTTCTAATCCTAGGATCTAGCCAAGCATGGAGCCCGTCCCAGTCGCAAATGCTCAGATATGTTTTCAATAAAATAATGTTACTATTGCAGCTTGAAATAATTGACCTTTTGTCACAGGAAAAGAATCTCAGAAACTTCAAAATGTTCTTCAATAGAACCTGAACTAAGACCCAACTTGATAGGCTGGGTTTTCACTTAAGTTGAAAAGCGCAGCTGTCTATCCTAACAGAAGGAATACTTCTCAGCCACCACAGGAGTCTCGAAGGAGGCTTTCACAGGCTTAATTTCTCAGAATTAAAGCAATTTTAAAGAAGAAAGACATTTCGATCCAACAGCAAAGATAGTCTTCCAAATTTGTGATTTTTTTGCATCCATGAATTCAACCCACCACAGGTCAACAATATAATTTTTAAATTGTCTGTATTCGATGCACACCGAATCTGCATTACTTAGCAATGCAGTATAACAATTACTCACTTAGAAGGTATCTTGCATCAGGTAATAAGCAATCTAGCAATGGTATATAGTACACAGGAAGCTGTGCAAAGGTTGCTCATGAATACCATACCATTTTACATAAGGGGTTAGTAATCCAGGCTTTTTTTAACTGGGGTGGAGGTCCTGGAGCCAATCCCCGAAGGCTATCAAGAGATAACTGCATCTTCTCCAGGTCTGCATGGCCTGGTACCAAAATATCTCTATCATACATTCTAGATGCTAATATGGACACATGCTAGCATACGTCCTCACAGTGACACATATAGAGACATGTGCAAAGGCCAAAAAGAGCAGTCGAATGTTCCACTGTTGAGCTTTTAACAAAATCCAAGAATTAAGTTATCTTTATACTGGAGAAACAAGGCATATAATGCTGAGGCTGGTTCTGAGTTACAAAAATAAACATAACTCAACAGATACTCTGCAACAGCCCTGTGTGTGAAGGGAGGAATAACATTTCATGATGATTTTTTTATGAGTACTTAAAAGCGTATCACCTTCGCACAATTACTATGGCTCAGAGTTAAGCTTTTTAGTGAGATCAGGAAATGATTGAGTATTGGTTTCATGCATTACCTATATCTTATCACATTGACCAGTCTTGAAAATTATAATGGTATTCTGCTGTTGCTTGAATGTGAAATGTCCCCTCCCTGGCCTGTCCAGTCTGACAGATCCAAAATGCAAATTAGTTGATATTCTGTGATATCTAATCTAGGGTTTGGGTAAGAGCTGTGACATCTGCCACCCAATGGGTCACCAGGGTTGACGCAGCTGCTCTGGGTGGCTAGCCGGCTGATCCCTTCTCTTCCCCATCACTTCGTGTATCCCTCTCCTGAAGCAGCATGCTAAGCAAGGAAGCTAACCTTCTGCTATGGAGAGGAACCATTCTTCTGTCAATGGAACATGAGAAGCTGCACTTCCCTGCTAGAACCAACTAACAGTCTCTCAAAAGCCAAACACGGAACGATTGCTTGGTGGAGAGGGGTTCCATTAGGTTCCTTTATCAATCTGTCAGTTCCTTCATGGAAATTGAAATCAGACATGGAATTTATGAGGTATAGGGGGTTAAAAAACATTGTTTTCCCTAATTCTAGCTTTAAAGTAATTTTTGGATCTAATGATCTATTAATAATATGGAGATGGTGGAATAGCCCAGACAGAAGATGAAAATGGGTGAGAGAAACCCTTTTCCAGTCTGGGTATCTTACAGGGATAGAACCAGACAGCTTGGTGAATGGCAGATACAGAGTTGCGTGTTTGAACGCTGATTCACAGCCCTAGAGGCACCTGAAGAGTGTGGAATAGAGGCCAGAATCCTATCAAGAGACCCAAAGTCGAAAATTAGACACTCCAGATGAATGGAGAAAAGTAATACTGGTCATACACTTCCTAGGAATACTTTTCTGTATGTACATTCTGCATTCATTAAAACAATAATACATACACACACACATACACACACACACACACACACACACACACACACACACACACACACACACGGCATGCACGCACGCATGCGCGTGCCCCATTGGACCATCACTTAGAGAAATGTAATAGAGTTCTTTTGTAAAAGAGCTTAGTGTTCTGTTAAGTTTAATATACATTTTAGATTTTCACTCTCTGGGATGCTTTCAGCAGTGAGTGTGACCAGACCATCCCTCATACCAAGGTCTTAACCTCACTTCGGCTGCCCCCACTTCTAGCTTCTCTACAATCTCTCTCCAAGTCCCAAATTTTCATCACAGCAGAGCCTGCCCGGAAGAATGGGAGCCTGCACATACAGCCTACTCCATGGACCGGAACAAAACCATTGAGAGCACATGTGTTATTCTGTGTTCCCACACCTGGTCCATTGGATCCATCCACCTTAGCCTGGACTTGGCCCAGGTCTCCAATCAGAAGTCCAAGGCCCATGCACACACAGTTCATGCCCTCTGCTGACATGATGCAGTGAAGGAGAGCAGACAAGTGGGTTCTCAAGCAGAGCTTTCAGCAACTTCTCAAGCCATCTCAGTATTCCCCTCATTGCCAATCTCTAGAACCAGCTTCTCCCAGAGCCTGGAAAGCTCTTCCAGACATATCACCTTTCCAGTCATGAGCATCGAAACGATCTGTTGCGGCGTCACGTAGAGCACTCTGCTTACTCACAGAAGGGAAGAGGGGTATGTGTGCTGATTCAGACTCATAGCTCTTTTCCTTAAAACTCGCAACTCTTTCCACTATGAGTCATGTGTAATTTGAAGAATGGGTCTTTGCGCGCGCGCACACACACACACACACGCACACGCACACGCACACACACAAAATAATAGCTTTCTGCATTCTTGTTTGTTATAGATTTAGCGATTTAATTTGGCTTAACCAGACACCTGGTTTACCTTTAGTTATGAATTTCTACCAAAGTCTACCAAAATAATGATAATAAGAATAAAACTTAAAGAAAGGAAAAAGAAAACCACCTAAATATTTAAATGCCTTTTATGGGGTTACAGAATTGAGGGGTAAAAGAGAGACATGTCTTCAAAATGCTGAATTAACAATCTGCCTGAAGCTGTTTATTTCTCTTCTGGGCATCTGAGTATCATGTCTATTTATTTTCTTTGCTATGATCCTAATCAGAGACACCACATACCACCCACTGCTCCAACTTAATGAGGACAAGAGAAACCAGATGAGTATTCCAAACCAGTGTCTTAAGCCAAGGCATTCATAACAGCAGGTGATCTAATTATCTTATACTGATTTCTGACATTACAACCCAATTACATATTTCAAAGAAACTCTAGAACGAGCTAACTAATATGCTTTCCAGTGTAATGGGATGCTATTTGGACTAGAAAACATGGCTCCTATATCTCAAAGCATATGAAGAAAACTAGGGTGCAGACATCAAATTTTATTATGCTCAGTGAATGAAATAAGAAGCCCGATTATGTTTGAGGCTGCAAACACCAGCCAGTGGGAAACAGGGAAAGGGAAATAAATCCAGATAAATTCAATCAGGAAAAAAAAGTTCCACAAATTTTAATTATCACAGCCCTGGTTATATAATCCCAAGGCAAAGTTGGCAAGTATACAAAGAAATGATAGCTGGACTTGGGTGAGGTCCAAGGTGTGGTGAGCATTCTCAAAACTACTATTTTAAGCTTGTTCGCTCCAACACAAGGAAGAACATTCAGCGAAGCAACATTTCATTACCACGATGAAAAAGTTCACTTAAGAGCGAAAGGATTTAAAGTTTTAATTGGAAAGACTTTCTGGTGCTGTGAAAGGAACAGGCAATTCCGAGACTGGCCAGCTCATGTTTGCATCAGCCGTGGTCATTCCACCTACCTCATGGAAGTCCTGCTGAGTTCCCAAAGCATCCTTTGGCCAAATGGCAGCCCTCTGGTCTACTCTACAAAATATAAAGGAAAATTATGTCTATTTGAAAGAACCATTTCAACAACTCACGTTTGAAGCTTGTGGCTACAGATCTGGCCATGTTCCTGTTGGAAATCCCAAGCGGCACTCTACCTATCAGAGGGTAACATTTAACCTCCTTCAGTGATCTGGAACGCAGAGTGGGTGAGCCCCGCCAGCCTCTCTGACCCTGGTGCTCTCCGTTGTTTCTCTGGCCCCACTACTCAGTCACCCTGGCCACCCCTGTTCCCTGAGCATAAGATCCCTATTCTATTTCAAACCCTGCACCTCCAGCCACCCTGGGTCTGGGATGCTTTACCCAGATCTTCACACAACTGGCTCTTGTCATACAATCATGAGCTCAGCTCACATATCCCCTCTCTGAGTGGGCCCTCTCACCCTCCTCTTGTTGGCATATGCAGTGCCTAACAATAGAGAGACCACTGTAATAAGTAGAAGGAATGGACCCATCCCCATGGTTGCCCTGTGACTTCCACATGTGTACTCTAGTGCCTGTTCTCTCTGTCTCTGTCTCTGTCTCTGTCTCTCTCTGTCTCTGTCTCTGTCTCTCTCTCTCTCACACACACACACCCCATAGTAGACACCATAGTAGACACACACACTCACAAAAGTTTTGTCCTATCACTTAATTTACACAACAAATGTTATAGTCATTGCTGGTTAGATAGCAAAGCTGAGTTTTGCCATAAAGATCTCCCAATAGAAGAAAAAGGACCCAAAGCAAGGCACATGACTTAGAGTCCCTTGCTTTTAGTTTAAGAACAAAACAAGAAATCCTACTCCTGATAGATGCTCGGGTCGAAATCCAGACTTGTCAAATTCTATGCCCAATGGCATATGTTAGGTCACATTCAAGTTTTTCTCCAAGAGTTCCTATGTTATTATATAATAAACAAATTACAGTTTTTATTAAAAAGGCCAGCTGTCTTAATGAATATGGTGTCAGATGTTTAGTTCGTAAATTACTCATTTTAAAAAGACTTATTTGCGGACATAATCATTTATTACCAGCACGCTGAGTCAATCTGAATATTAAAGACAAAACATTCTCTGAACGGCTACCACGGTTAATGAGTTCAGCACGTCATGACCCACTCAATAACGTACACTGAGCAACACCATAGGCCTAACTTCTTCAGGATAATAAGTGAGATTTTCTTTCTAGCTATGAGTTGGGCTAATCGTGCCAACAATTGGCTTCCAACAGCATCTAAAGCAGAGGCAAGACACGAAGGCAGTGAAGAGCACGTTGAGAATGCTTTCCACATCCACACAGGACCAGCATCTTCCTCCTATAGTCATCAGAAGACCGGGGCCCAGTCACCAGGTTAAGCCCAGGCAGCCTCAGTGAGCAGAGAGTAAGGAGAACTTTCAGGCTCACCTGCCCCATATCCTTCAGTCCCCTGAGGCACCAATATGGCAAGGTAGTAAAAGGACTCTTGGGGACGGGGAATTAAGCCTTCCCATCTTTTCAAAACTTTGAATGGGTCCTGAGTTCTTTGCCATCTACAGTGGTTCACCAACTACACTCCACGGTTGCTGTAAACCAAGGGAAGCAGGAGTGTGGTGTTTCTAAGATTTATTTTAAATCGTGGGTACATGTGCCTGTAATGGGAATGTGCACACGAGTGAAAAGTGCGCAGAGGCCAGGAGACATTGTTGCAACCTCTGGGGGCTGGTGCTACAGGCAGCTGTGAGTCATCTGACATGGACGCTGGCTTATCTTTCAGCTTAACAAAACTTTATTAGAAAAATATGCCCTTAGTCACCATAATTACATAATGATTCTAGTGTGGTGTGTTATGTGACTCTAGACTCCCTGGGCTGTTTTTATACAGCTGGCAGTAACAGTAAGCATCACTGATGAACAGCCCTTCATATCCTATGAGGTAGCAATTACTGTCTTCTTTAGAACTAGCCAGGTAGAAGACAAAAACATAGACAAGTCCTAAGAGTTGGGCTTTAGCTCATTGGCAAAGCCCTTGCATGGCAAAGGCCCTGGGGTTTGGCTCCTGGGCCTGATGAAGAAAAAAAAAAAAAAAAAAAAAAAAAAAAAAAAAAAACAGAAAATCATGAGGAACAAGAAGCTAACCAGGACTCCTTCTGTAGCTACCAAAGACAACGAAGTTTTAGGAAAGCAAATTGTCAAGAGAAATCCAAGACTTCACCAGCCCTCATGCGCCAGGCTGGACAGGCCAGGTGATTTCATCAAATTTCTTCATTTAACCCTCAAGAGTACCACATGCGATTAGCATTATTACACACGTCGACCCCATAGGAGGAAGGGCAGCTAAATAATTTCATTATTCATTGAACAAGTATTTAGTAAGCATCGATTCTATCCCATAATCTAGATCAGGTGCTGGGAAAGGGCAGTGCACAGAAAGTCCACTTTCACAGACTCTGTATGTCCTTTCCTTTTGAAGCTTTCTACTTTCATGTGTATGGCTGTTTTGTCTGCATGTATGTCCATGTACCACATGTGTGCCTGGTACCCACAGCGGTCAGAAAAGGGCATCATCAGAGCCCCTAGGGCTGGAGTTACTGGTTGCTAGCCATCCTGTGGGTGGCTAGGAATCCAACTGGGTCCTCTGGAAGGGCAGCCAGTGTTCCCAACTGCCAAGCCATCTCTCTAGCCCTAGGCCCTGTATTTTCACCAAAGGAGAGAGGACATAAAAAAAATAAACAAGCCAACCATGACCTATGACTCACCAGATGCCAGGATCAAAGGAGGAAAGAAAAGACAGACACGGAATCCAGGACTCTCAGGAGAACTCGTCAACCCCCACAGCCAGCAAGTGCCAATCACCCAGAGACAGGGAGAATGACAGCCTGACCTAAGAGCATTAAAGGTCACAGTGAGGAAGAGAAAGAAAGAAGAAGACTCGCTGGAAAAGCTCGGTAGTAACTGAGGAAACAAGAATGGAGCAGAGTTCAAGCCTCCCTCCCCTACACCCTTAAGACACTGCTCCAGCCATGTATGGTCTGCCAATACATGATACCTGCTCCACAGTGAAACGCTCCACTCAGTTCTACTACCTCCCTCCATCCACGAATGGCTACATGCAGGCGAACGGCTACAGGCCTCCACCAAACCCATGCTTCCGGAAGGCAAAGATGGGCAATGCAGAACTCGCTGCCAACCCCATCACAACTTTGACTCCTAGCCAAGGCCTAGGCAAAGGGTCATGCAGCGTGTACTCCTCAGAGCCCGACAGTGGTCCGCCATACCGATGCCTCATTCATCACAGATACCATCACTGTGGTTGTGACTGTGGCTTCCACCATCACCACTCACTCCCACCATCATTGCCACCATCAGCAGCATTACCATTACAGAGACTGTCATCACTAAGAGCATCACAACCAAAACCTCCAACATCACCATGAGCAATACCTCTAACATCACACAAAAGCAACATATCCACCATCACCACCAGAAACATCGATACCACCACAAGCAATACCTCCAACCTCACTATGAGCAATACCACCACTGTTACCACGAAGTTACCACTACTGTTAGGCTTCTACCATCAGCACCTAAAACACTTCTATCACCATGATACAGTAAAATAAAAATACTAATACTCAAAAACACTTCAATAGAGAAATACAAAAGGAATTAATTATGTGCTGATATTAAAACAGTTTCTGCCCAGAATCTGCGCTTGTGAGCATGTGGACAGCCCATCGAAGGGCAGCTTTAAAAACTGGCGTTCCCATGTTGCTGGATCCCTGAAGCATGTGCTGAGTCAGGCTGCAGGGCCATCCGCAGCGGGCCTCTCTGGGGAGGTGTACAGGAATTCAAAACAGCAAAACCAACTAAGCACTAAAATATTTTTCTTGGCCCCATGACAATATCCAACCACAGGATGTGATAATTTGTGAAAGAAAGGTTATATTTTAGCTCAGGATTTTATTTTTAAATCAACATTTTAACTATAATTTAATTAGCAAACAGTAGAGTCCTGTCTCAATCAACAAAAAGCTTCCACCTAGCCAGCGGCTGATAGCAGCTAAAATCCTGTGAACTTTATCTCTCTCAAGCCCAACAGCCAGTGTGTTCCCAGTACTTCAATTTCTTACCACAAATAACCTGTTTATCTGTCCCCTCTCTGCTCCACACCCTCCACCCCCACTGCCGTCTTAAGCAAAGCTACTATCATCTCTCCCTGGAATAACAAAGGTTTCCTTTTGGTCTTCCTACCCTTCCTTCCCCAGAGCATGCCACACACCAGATCTGGCCACTCACTGCCCTCTGTCCACTGCACTCCAGGAGTCCAATTCTGAGAAGATCTACTAAGGATTCACCAGTGGTTGTCGAATGAGTTAGCCAGCATGGGCGGGAAGAATAAAGGACGAACATCTAACGGTGTTCCGAAGACTCCTCCCCAGAGGAGCACTCTCCAGAGGAGCACTCCCAGGAGGAGCACTCCCCGATGCTCACGGTGTCTTGGGACATCTGAAGGATTTCGCCTTGCCCACCCCTTCACCCTCCATGAATGCCCTGCCCCATCTGTGCTGTGGTTAAAAGGGCATTCCTCCAGTTCCTCACACTGACTATGCTCCTTCCAAGCTCATGCCTTCAGGCAGGATGTCCTTGTGCCTTACCACGCTCCTCCTTCCCAACCTTCTTTGTCTCTGAATTAACTCATTTGTCCTTTAGATACCACGTATGTACCTCCCAATCATGTCTTCCTGTTATGTGAATTGTTGAGTAGACGTAGGAAACTACTCAACTCATAATTCTACATCTTTACAATCACTTAATAGTCACTTACTTTTGATGGTAAGCTCTGTGGGGCAGGAATCAAGAGTTTGGTATAGAATAGGTATGCATATATTGATAAAGTATTCATCTGAGTCCTGAACAGCTGCCAATTCTGATAAATTACCAAGTGTGCACAACCTGTGTTCCTTCCTCTCCCTGAGGCACACCAGCAAAGTCTGCAGGCTGCGATGGCTCTCACT